GAAAAAAAAAACCCCCTAAAAAAAAAAAAAAAAAGCTGTTTCTCACCCATCTAAAAACTTTTACTAGAGATAATCAGACCTTAGAAAATGGGTATAAGCTGTGGCCAGCCAAAGTGGTACATCAGTAAAGCAATATCCTCAGCTGTACTGAAGCCACATAGGAAGTTCCCAGGTTTGTATCCTAAGTTCTGTCCACATTGGGAATGCATGAGCCTGTGATCTAGGCTGCCTAAGGCTGGGATGGGTTACAATGTGAACACCTTATTGGGTTATCTCTCTCTTTTTCTCTCTGTCTTATGAAAGAAATAAACTTTTTTTTTTTGAAGAATTATTTAAATTTTGGGACCAGCAATTAGCATAATGGCTACGTTGTTGGACTCCCATGCTAACTGCTGGTCCCCATAATAGATGGTTTTTAAAGACTTTTTTCCCTTACCTGAATCAAAATAAAATATTCACTAGATATTTCTCAATGACTATTACACTTTTTTGAAGAGTAATTATACTTTGGCACCAGCAGTTAGCGTAATGGCTATTTCGCTGGACTCCCACGTAGTTGACTGCGGTTCGAGTCCCGGACTCGGTGGCTTAAACTCACACCCGGCGCTCGTGTGTGTGTGCCCAAGATCCCGAGAAGAGAATGGAGGAGAAGGGATTGCAGCGTGGCCATCCCCCCTGGGGGGTGATTTCTTGCTTTTATCTCTCTGTCTGTCTCTCTCTCTGGCGAGCGCACGCACCCTATAGCAAAAACCTCTCAAAAAAAAAGAAAATCATGGACTGAAAGCAGGAGAAAACAGGTTGTTAAGCTTGATATAATTACCTTTTTAGTAGCAATTAATAATGTTAATTTGCCATCCATTTGTTAATTTTGTTCTTATTAGGCAAGCAGCAATAGTTACAAAAGGCTTAAGAAAAACTGGGAATTTTTAACTTACTGAAATCTATCCTTGGACCAATAGGTTGTGTGGTGGTTAAAGGCACTGGACTCTCACAGGGCCACTCATGGTTCAAGTCCTAGACCTGGCAGATTGCTTTTTCACTTTCTTCCTCTCTCTCTCTCTCTTTCTCTCTCTGGTCAAATTTAAAAAATGAATAAATAGGGGCCAGCAGGTGGCATGGTGGTTAAGGGTGCTAGATTCCCACATGGTCTACCACAGTTTGAGTCCTGAACCTGGTGGCTTTCTCACTTTTACTGTCTCTCTCTCTTTCTGTCTGTTTCTCTGTCCGTTTCTAGTCAAATTTAAGTAAATAAATAAGAATTTTTAAAAATTCTTTTTTAAAAAAAGAATAAATAAAGTTAAATAAAAAATCTTTTTTAAAAATGAGGAACTCTGTCCTCTTAATTCAATGAATTGGAAAAGACTGATAAAAAAATGTATCTGGAACACAAGCAGGTGATGTGGTGATTAAGGTACTCCCACATGGGTGACCACAGTTCAAGTCCTGGACCTGGTAGCTTTCTTTCTTTCTCTCTCTCTGACTGATCAAACTGAAAAATAATAAATAAAGTTAAATAAAATAATAATTATTTTTTAAAAAAGAAAGGTATCTGGAACCAGCAGATGAACTAGCGGTTACTTCGCTGAACTCCCACATGGCCAAGTGTCTTCAGAATCAAATGTCAGGCATGTGTGTGTGCATGCCCAAGATCCCGGGAGAAGAATAAGTAAGGGATTGTGGTGTGACCATCCTCCCTGAAGGGTGATTTCTCGCTTTCCCTTTCACTGTCTGTTTTTCTCTCTGGTGGAGTGCATGTGCCCTAAGGCAAAAATCTCGGGGTGGGGAGGGGGAAAGCCTTGGTAATAAATGTTCTAAGTAGCATGGTATAAGAACCACTTCCTTATTTTAAAATATGATCTTTTTAAAATAATTATTAATTTTATTTATCATTATCGTTTTTTATTTTTTTAATTTGTTACAGGGCACACATGCTCGCCAGAGAGACAGAAAGAGAGGGAAAGTGAGAAAGCAAGCTGCCAGGTCCGGGACTCGAACCAAGGTTGACTATGAGGGATTCATCCAACACCTTAACCACCACATCACCTGCTGGCTCCTAAAATATGTTTTAATCACTAGTTTTATTATTTTCAACTTAGACAACCTAGTTAATATATGAAAATATGTAACTTAAATGAATCTGCTTTCTGTGCTTAAAAAAAGCCTATTGAAGAGATGCGACATGTGATTGTAGATATTATCACAATGAAGAATCAAGAAAAAGAAAAGGTTAATTTGGGTAAGTTTTCATTTCTTTTGTTTGACTTCAAGTGAATTGCATTTGTATTATATGTCTTTAATTTTTTCTTTTATCTTTTTTCTCTTTTATTGAGTATTCCAATTTTACTAGATTGAAAAGCACAACAAAGCCAGTAGTAATAAGCAGAAAAGATGGGGAAAGAAATACAGAAAAAAGATTGGGCAAAGATCAGAGATGATAAAGGGAAGGAATGAGGAGGACAGGGAACGTCAAGAACCCCAAGTCTGGGCAGGAAAGAGATGACTAAGGACTAGACATGCCTTTTTCTTTTATCTTTTTTTACTTTTATAATATGTAGGTTTTGGGGCTGGCAGGTGGTGTGGTTATGGAGCTGGATTCCCACACGACCGACCACATTTCAAGTCTTGGACCTGGTAGCTTTCTTTATCACTTCCCCTTTCTCTCTCTCTATCTCCCTCTGGTCATATTAAAACAAATGTAAATACTAAGAACAAATAAAGTTAAATAATATTTTTAAATGTAGGGTTTTTTGTTTATGCTTGCTATTGACTTCAGCCTCTGAGATAAAATGACTTTATGTAATATAAAGTTGGTTTTTTCCATTGCAATTTTATAACTTTGACAATCAGTAGTTAGTCTCATCCACATTGACTGTAGATTTTTGAAAGTTGTAACAGTACATAGGCGACCACAATATAGAGCTTGTATCGTGAAATTTCATCTTCCTTATATTTTTCTAGCTTCATAAATTGAAGTACTCCCTGTTGAACTAAATGCACCAACAGAAGCATGACTTACTCAAATACAGTATTTTAATATGTCACTAGCATATTAAATTTATTATACACAGATGTGGTATGGGACATTCATTATTCTTTTGGTCCAGACAACTTTGTTGAGCTTGGTATCAGTTTACACACTGGAGTCCCCATTTAAATCTGATTCAGTTTCTTTAATTTTTCCTTAATAAGATAATACTAGTTAGTGTTTTAGCATGTAGAATGTTAGTCTTTAGGTGGGAGCCAAAAACTGTCTATAGACTCTTGGCTTTAAGTTCCGAATACAAAATCAATTTTTACAAATCATAATTTCTTCTAAACAAGAGAACTTAAGAGGGAAATATAAGGAATTAATTACAGAGACGAGCACTACTTGGATGTCTCTCAGGTGTCTCAAACCCACATACTCGAACCTGAGCACATCATTTGTCCCTAAACCTGATTTTTCTTTGAGTTCCCTACCTCTGTAAGTGGTGTTTTCCAGTTGACCATGCCAAAATCTTGGGGTTGATTTTTGACTTCCTCACTGCTACCTCCCAACCCCTATTTTCCAGCCAATCAAATATAATCTGACTTCCAAAGTATCCCTTAAAATTAACCCACTTCTCTCTATCATCCTTTCATTACTACAGTCAAGATAATCTACAAGTTCTTGGGACCAGCAGGTGGCATGGTGGGTAAGGGTGTTGGACTTCCACATGGCTGATTGCAGTTCAAGTCCCAGACCTGGCAGCTTACTTTCTCACTTTCGCTGTCTCTCTCTGTCTCTCTCTCTCTGTTCATCTCTGGTCAAATTTAAATAAATAAATAAAGTCAAAAAGTCAAATAAATATATATATAGACCATTGATTAGTTTCTTTTTAACACCCATCATGCCGTGAATTCATAGGGAATATGTTCAAGTAGCTCAGGCTCCTTTCCATTAGTTTTTACAAAGTGTGCTTCTCTGGGTGGAGCAGGCTAGTGCTTTAGTTGAACCCAGGTACCTTCCACTTTGGGTTCCTTCTTTTTATGGTCATTTTCCTTTACATGTTTTAGGAAGTGATCTCTAGTCTTAGAATGCTTGATATGCTCAATACGCACATTAATTCTCTTGGCAAGAATCTTGCCCTTGTTTGTTTAAAACAATGCTAACAGCATGCTGGATAACATCATAGACTCTTCCAGTTTTGCCATGGTAACATTTAGGGGGCATTCCTTTTTGAACAGTACCCATTCCTTTGATGTCTACAGTATCACTTTTCTTGTAGATTCACATATATGTTACCAAAGGAACCACTCTATGTTTTCTAAAAGGCCTAGAGAACATATATTGGGTTTCTCTCCTTCTTCCCTTTGTGTTCGCCATTTTGGTTAATTACTAGAAGATGACAGTTCTGGCCAAAAGGCCAAATAAAATAATTCTTAAAGAAATGATCATCTACAAGTCTTATCAAGATTTCTAACCTAGGTTCCTGCTTTCTACTCTTGTCCCATTCCAAACCATTCTCTACACCAGGGCCAAAATGCTGTCTGCTTAAATTTCTGACTCCAGCCTCTTTTGTGTTCTACCTCTCCATTGCATCTCTGAAATTTCTTTTTTTTTTTTTTCCATATCCTAGGAGAGATTCTACTGTCTTTTTCCTCCAGTCTCTCCTAACCAGTCTTCCACTTTTTCTAGATTTCAATTTCAATGTCACTTCATTGGAGTAGCCTTTTCTCATACCTCCCCTGAAAGATCTCTGCCCATCCTCCCAACTGAAGGTTTGATGCACTTGATTGCTTGTTTGTTATCTTAAGTTTTTTTTTGTTTTTTTGTTTTGTTTTGTTTTGCTTTTTAAGAGAGATTTGTTGCTATAGGGTTCATGTGCTTGCTAGAGAGACAGAGAAACAGCGAGAAATCACCACCCAGGGGGATGGCCTTGTCACAGGATTTTGGGCATGCATGCACTCACGCCAGTATGAGTTGTAAGCTCCCCAGGTCTAGGACTCGTACCATGGTCGAGTACATGGGAGTTTAGCAACATAACTAATTGTTGTGTTAGATGATGAACCTGATGGGTAAGGACGCTGTGTAATACTCCTGATCATTGTTACCTTAGTGCTAATCCAATGCCTAGCATATAATAGGCACGTAAAATTTGTTAAATTAATGAAAAATATATTCTATCACTATTTCTATTTGTACTGTTGTTTATACTACTAAAAGATCTAATAGTACAAATCTAGTAGTTTTCCTAATTAAATTCTGAGATCTTTTTAACTTGGAATTTACCAGGATGCCTCACAAGTATTTCAAATGTAACATGTTCTATTTTTGAATGCTTTTTCTTACCTCACTGCTTCCCCTTACCTATCGTCCCTTTTTCCCAAAAAAGAAAAGAGAAAATCCTCCTGACATTAATGATTCCTAAGCAAGAAATTTTAGAAGGTATGACCCTAATACACATGAATTCAGACACAGGTGTGTATTCCTTTGTTCATTAAGTCCTGACACAGAAATATTTTTCAAATTAGGCCCTTCCGTCCTGTCCCAACCTCTTATTATTGGGTTGTCGGAAAAGTCATGACTTTTATTTAAAAAAAATAGACAGACAGACACACACACACACACACACACATATATATATATATATAATTTAACTTTATTTATTTATTTTAATTTGACCAGAGAGGGACAGAGAAAGATAGGGGAAGTGAGGAAGCCAGCCATCAGGTCTGGGACTCGAACTGTAGTTGGCTATTTAAGAGTCCATCATCCTTAACCACTATACCACCTGCCCACCCCGTGACTATTTTTTTCTCTATATATTTTCTTTTCATGTAAAAATGTGTCCTGGGACCAGCAGATGGCCTAATGGCTACGTCGCTGGACTCCCATGTAGTCAACAGTGGTTCGAGTCCCAGACCCGGTGGCTTAAACTCAGGCTGGGTACATGTGCCTGTGCCCCAGATCCTGAGAGGGAAATGGAGGAGAAGAGATTGCTGTGTGGCCATGCCCCCTGGCGAGCAGGGGGGTGGGGGTGATACTTTATCTTTTTACCGACACAGGTCATTGTTCTTTATTCCCTGCTATTTTAGACAATCCTTTACATTAACCAATTTTAATTGTATCTCTCTCTCTAATGAATGTTTTATCAAAACCTCTTACATTGTAAAGTTTGTTACAATTTAGTCCCTGCCTACCTATCTGAGTTGACCACCCCCTCCCTATACTCCCAACTTGCTCTCCTTACCCTGTATTCAAAACACATTAGCTCTTTAATGTTATCTTTTTGGAATAGATTTATTTTATTGAGGTGTGGTTAATGTGAAATAGAATGCCCAGATGGGGGGGGGGAACTATTCTGCATTTTCATGCATCTGTACACAGGCAGCTGCCATCCCAACATATGAAGCATTTCCATGATGCCGTTACATTTTCCTTCTGCTTTCTGCTCATTTCTCCCTCCTCCCTGACGCCATCCACTGATTTTTGCCACCAAAGTTAGTTACTCCTGGTTTAGAAGTGTGCCTAAATGGAATGGGAAAGCATGCAGTCTTCTGTGCCCTCCTGAGCCCTCTATGTAGTGTTTTTGAAATCCGTCCATGGTGTGTGCATCTCTACTTTCGATCCTTTTGGGGGAAGCTTTTCCTTATTTGGGAAGCACGGCAGTGTGTGACCATTTGTATCCAGCTTCCCTCTCTGCCTTGATAAGATGAAAACCCCAAGGAGAATTGGCAATAAGAGTGAGGACTGAGGCTTTGGGAACAAACTTAAGGCTCCAGGATGGGAGAGAGACAATTTATGTTAGGATCCTGGCAAGAGCCAAAATGGACTATTTTGTGACCAACAGAGTGGCCTGTGGGGTGTGGGGGCCTTTGACATTGAGGCTTAAACTGTTCTAGAATAAAGGTGTATAAACTAGAGGGGCCAGATAGGCATTATCCAGGGTTCCAGTGCCATGCCCATGTCTGTGGGAAGTACTGGTTTTGACATCGACTTCTGGGAGCTGCCTTTGCTGAACATCATGTGGTTTTTGCTGGTTGCACTTGTGCTTTGTCCTCTTGAGTTTTACTCTGTAGTTCTTGAACCAAACCTGCAGTACTGTTGGATGTAAGTCCATTTTTGAGGTCATTTCTTTCTTTTTTTGGAGAGATTTATGCCATAGGCAGGTACACTCCCTAGAGAGACAGAAAGCAAGAAAAGCTCCCCCATGGGGGATGGCCACCCCATAATCCCTTCTTCTCCTGGGCTCTTCAGCATGCACGCATACACAATCAGAATGATTTTTAAGCCAGCAGGTCTGGGACTCGAACCACAGTTGGCCATGTGGGAGTCTAGAGACAGAACCCCTATGCCATCTGCTGGCCCTAAGGCCATTTCTTTCTGAAGGCTTGGATTTGGGTATGAGTTCTTACTAAACAAGAAGTTCAAATCTTTTTTTTTTTCTTTGAGAGATATTTGTGCTGTAGGGCTTGAACATTGGCCAGAGAGACAGAAAGCAAGAAATCACCCCCTGGGAGACACCAGTCCCTTCTCCATTCTCCTCTCTGGATTTTGGGTGCATGGGCACACGCGCACATGTGCCGAGTGTGAGTTTTAAGTTGCTGGGTCCGAGATACTAACAACGGTCAACTACATGGGAGTCCAGTGATAAAACCATTACACCTTCTGCTAGTCCCCAAGTCTTCTATTACTAGTCACTTTTCTGTCTCCTCTGTGACTTCTGGTGATTGCCTTTGGGAAGGTCCTCTGCCTAGCATTTTGTAATCGAGACAAGCTCTTTAATTCAGGTCCAGTGATCTAATAATATCTTAACAGATCATTTTCTTTTGTTGTTCAAGATGGTCTTCCTTGGGCTTATTGAATACTAATTCTTTAAAACACAGCCTAAGTGTCACATGTAAAGCCTTTCATAACTGTCTCCCTGTACCACATGTAAAGTTGGTTGTTCCCATGGAGCCAGCAGATGGCGTAATGGCTATGTTGCTGGACTACCACAGTTCGAGTCTCAGACCCAGTGGCTTAAACTCACGTGGGACACGTGTGCATGTGTCCCCAAGATCCCAAGAGTAGAATGGAGGAGAGGGATTGCGACATGGCCATCCCCCCGAGGGGTGATTTCTCACTTTCTGTCTCTCTGTCTCTTTCTGGCGAGCACATGCACGTTATAGCAGAAAACCTTTCTTAAAAAAAAAACCACACACTTTAGTTGTTTCCATTTTGGATTACAATAGCCTTTTGTTCTTAATTCATTTATAGCATTTATCTCTCTCTCTCTTTTTTTTTTTTTTTTTTTTGCCAGAGGTCATATATGGTTGGCAAAGAGACAGGGAGAGGGAAAAAGTGCCCCACAGTGGGGCATGATCACATGATAATCTCCTCTCCATTTTGCCATTATGTTGGGATTTGTGGCAACATGCCCATGCACCAGCTGTGATTTTCAAGCCACTGAAGTTGAGATCAAACCTTGTATATAGACAGCATTGTGAGATCTGCCTCCTTTAACCATTAGGCCATTGGGCCAGCCCACCATTTATTTAGTTTTATAATTAATTATTTTCAAGTATGTGTCTTTCATGGCATATAATGTTTTTAAAGGAGACAGAAGTGATTCTATTCTATCATAGTCCTTGACACGTAGTAAATATTTGTTAAATAGTTGGCAGCGGTATTTGCTTAGGAAAAATAATGGTTAGGATATGATAAGCTTGGTTCTTCTATTTTGAAAATTTGGTCAACTGAGAATAACTTGAATGTCTTGTGATTTTGTTCTTAAAATTTGGCTAATAGCTTAATCTATAAATGTATTTTCTTTAGAGAAAAATACTGAAGATGATTGTGTAACCCAAGAACAAATCCAAGAAGTTGACACTGAATATGTAGGTGTAAATCTACAGCTAGGAAAACCAGAAACGGAGAATAAACATCATCGAAATGTGGTATTTCAGGATTGTGAAAAGGAGCAAGATGACAAAACAAAAGAGTCGACCTGTGATGTTAAAACTCCTAATACAGAAACTAGGGCGGGTTGCTTAATAAAATATAATGTGTCTACTACTCCATACTTGCAAAGGTAAACTTTTAAAATGTAATGTGCTGTGATTAGTTTTCATACATACCCAACTACCATTATTAACATGTATAGAAAAATTTTTAAACAAAATGGAGTGTCATTGGGAGATTACACCTTTTTTTCCTAAAAGAATTACTTATTTAAATTTATTTATCTATTTATTTTAATTTGACCAGTGAGACACAGAGAGAGAGAGAGAGAGAGAGAGAGAGAGACAGAGTAACGAAGTTAGAAAACAAGCCACTAGATTCAAGACTCGTACCATGGCTGGCAAAAAGCCACTAGATTCAGGACTCGTACCATGGCTGGCCATGTGGGAAGTGTCCAGCACCTTATTCACCATGCCACCTGCTGGTCCCAAGAGATTTCACCTGTTAAATACTGGAATTGCTTGACTTTTTCTTAAATATTACCATGCAGGGGAGAGCTTTATATCATCTAAATTTATCTATAGTTTTTTTTTAAAGAATTATTTTATTTTAACTTTATTTATTATTATTTTTATTTTCCAATTTGACCAGAAAGAGACAGAGACAAGAAAGTGAGAAAGGAAGCCATCAGGTCAAGGTCTTGAACCATGGTTGGCCATGTGGGAGTCCAGCAACTTTAACCACCACGCCATCTATCTTTTAAATAGTATGTTTTTTTGTTTTGTTTTGTTTTTTGAGAGGTTTTTGCTATAAGGCACGTGCGTTCACCAGACAGACAGACAGAGACAGAGAGACAGAAAGCAAGAAATCACCCCCCGGGGTGGGTGGCCACACCACAATCCATTCTCCTCTCGGGATCTTGGGCACACACGCACACACGCCCAGCCTGAATCTAAGCCACCGGGTCCGGGACTCCAACCGCGGTCAACTACGTGGGAGTCCAGCAACATAGCCATTACACTAACTGCTGGTCCCTTAAATAGTATGTTTTTTAAATTAAATCAATATCTACTGTGACCAAGTTGTATCAACAACTAGAAGAATAAATAAGTTCTTCAAGTCAAGGAGCTTACATTACTTTTTCTTTTCTATAAGACAAGTAATTACATAGTTAAAACGTAAGTTATAGTATGATGAATAGCATAAAAGTACCAGGGAAGGGGCCAGTAGGTGGCATAGTGGTTAAGGGCGCTGGACTCCCATTTGGCCAATTGCAGCTCAAGTCTCAGACCTGGCAACTTGTTTTCTTGCTTTCTCTCTCTCTCTCTCTTTCTCTCTCTCTCTCTCTGACCCTCTCTGGTCAAATTAAAATAAGTAAGTCAAGTTAAATAATTCTCAAAAGAAAAAAATACCAGTTAAAAATGTTAACATGTTTTTGAACTCTGGGAATCATTTTGTATTTTTTCAGTGTAAAGAAGAAGGTGCAATTTGATGAAATAAATTCTACATTTAAAGAGCTGAAATTCTTGACACCAGTGAGAAGATCTCAACGTCTTCAAGAGAAGACTTCTAAATTGCCAGATATGTTAAAAGACCATTACCCTTGTGTGTCTTCATTGGAGCAGTTAACAGAGTTAGGAAGTGAAACAGATGCCTTTGTATGCCGCCCTAATGCAGCACTGTGCCGGATGTACTCCGAGAATGAAACAGCAGAAGAAGCATGAAACTATGATAAGGAATGGGGTTTTATTACTGGTGTTCAGTTTGGTTTTGTATGGCTTGTGTTTCTCTTAGGCCTGGGGTTGGCCAAGGACCTAAGTGGTCAAGTATTCATGGCAGTGAGCTCTTTACAGAGACTGTGTAGCAGGAGTTGCCCTTCTGTGCACTGGAAAGCTAATCCTGCTCCCGGTCTCAACAGCTTTTCTTTAAGATGGGTAAATTTTGTCAGCTTGTTTCTATATTCCTTAAATATAAACAGGTTTTGGCATGTTATTTGTTCACTTACTAAATATAAGTACTAATGATTCATAGTCAGAAAATGAGGTGTTCTAAATAAAATTTGGTTTTGCATTGACATGTTTTAAAATTTTATGATATACTTTTCCTGCCTTTAAACATAATACTTTTTTTTTTGCCTTTCTTTGTTTGACAGAAAAGTCAAAAATTGTTATGTGTAGAGTGACTTTCTTCAAATATTAAAACACAAAATGTTTAGCTTGCATTTTCACCAAATTTATGATACCCAGTTTGGGCTCTGTTGCTTCCTCTGGACTGTTTATGATTCTTTACTGCCACTTTTCATCAGTGACAATGAGTCTCTGTGATCTCTTAGCATCTTTCTTTTGACTCTAAGGTCACCAAAAAGTATATAGTGTCCTGTTAATAAATCTCCCTTTTCTAAGAGAAGGTACTCTGTATAAGAAAGAAAAGGTGACATATTTAGTAGATATTCATAGCTACATCTAATCTGAGTTCCTTTTTTAACTTGACTATCTAAAATGTTAACATTTTAATGCCTATTGTTTAATTTGATAGTTTATAAACTATTAGAATGGACTTAAGGAAAGAATATATATATTATTTAATAAATGCTTTTCTAGTAAAGTATCTAAAAATTACACTTGCTTTCTTTATAAAAATTTCACTGCTAAGTTATGTCCCCTGAAGCATGATAGTTACCTATAGTAAATACTTTTCTTCTCTCCACACATAATATTACCAGTAAAATTGTTTTATAAGGCCCAAACTAATACTTAAATGGCATACATCTATCAGTTCTATGGTTTGAAATAAGTGGATTTTAATCGTAAAAGGTTAAAATGATGTATGTAGTTGAATATCATATAGTCATTTATCTTCATTTCATTTGTATAATATCTTCATTCTATTTATTATATTCTCATCCTAGAGTAGAATTTTTATTATTTTAACTTATAATATCTTCTATTTATTATATTCTCATCCTAGAGTAGGATTTTTATTCTTTTAACTGTGCACCTAACGTGTATGCAATAAAAATATGTGTATAATGTTCCAGTGACATTTATTTCAGCAAATAACTATGAAATGAAGTTTATGCATAGTGAATTAATTTGATCTTTGCTTTTGAAATACAGTGTAAAGTGGCCAGCAGGTGGCATGGTAGTTAAGGCTGCTGGACTCCCACATGGTCAACTGCAGTTCGAGTCCCGGACCTGGTGACTTGCTTTCTCACTTTCTCT